CTGGGGACGCCCGGGGCATCCTCGGACCCCGGCCCTTCCCCGAGCTCGTCTGGGGACACCCGGGAGGAATCCTCCCACCGGCCTTTGGCAAACGCAACCGGTTATCTCGAGGGACCCCTCTGCGCCCCGAGGATGCGGAAGGCGGGGTGATGTGTGCAGTGAGTGACTTCTCCCCGTTCCCTTCCCGGGGCTCCCCCGAGACTCGGCCTCTGAGGCCTGAGTCGGGGGCAACGTCGCCTTCCGAGCCCCACAGATACACCTTTCCGAATAGGAACCCCAGCGGGTGAACTGGAAAGTCCCTCTTCGTTAGGGGAGGGAGGAAGGGCTCCCCCACCGTATTTCTCTCCCCGCGCCTCCGTTTCGCTGTAGGGCAAAGCAGGGGTTTCCAGAGCTCACGGCTTGGAAGGCGTAGGGACGAGGCCACCCCAGAAGCTTCCCACTGCGCTGTGAGCTTGTGTCGCGAGCCCCGATCCGCTGGCATTTCGCGTGGGCGAGCCTTGACGTTCACGCTGAGCTGCGCAAGTTGACCACATGCATTTCAAGCCTTTGTTCCTCTTGGAGCAACCCTGGGGAAGAGCTGTCCCAACAGGTGGTTGGTAGGCGGGTCAAGATTTGACTACTAGAAGGCTTGGTAGCCGGGCTCGGTGGCTCAGCCTGTCATCCCGCGCCTTTGGGAGGCTGAGGTGCGTGGATGGCCTGAGCCCGCGGGTTCGAGACCCGCCTGGGCAGCGAGACCTCCTCTCTGCAATAAATCAAAAAATCAGCCGGGCGTGGTGGCGCGCGCCTGTAGTTCTGGCTTCTTGCAAGGCCGAGGCGGAAGGATCGCCGGAGCCCGGCGGGTCGAGGCTGCGGTGGCCGGGAGCGGCCCCTGCACTCCAGTCTGGGCGACAGTGAGACTCCAACTCAAAAAAAACCAAACAAACAAAAAGAATGCTTGGTGAGCGGAGGCAGAAATCCCGCGGGAAAGCTCACCCTCGCCAGGCACCCCTTGCCTCGCTTGCTGTCTCTGTGCAGCTGGAGCCAGAGGGCCGAAAATGAGCTCGCTGTTCCCAAGCCGCTCTTGACACAGCCTCGCCTCCTAGCTCCCTTTTGGGTTTTAGTGAATTTGGCCCGAGGAACAGCTCTCCTATGGGCTCGTGGAAATCCGCCCTGCTGGGGTTTGCTTTCCAAAATGGAAACAAAGTCAGACGCCCCTAAGAGACATTTCATGCAGCCTCTACTTCCATGGTGCGTCGTAACCCAGAAGTTACCAAAATGTGGCTGGGGACTCCTTGAGACACTGGGACTCGTCCTCTGGGTTAGGCTTTTTTGTAGACTGAAAAATTGTATCCCCTTCTCTAAGTGAAGAGGCCTCAAGGACTCGGGACACAAGTTGTAGGAGCTATGAAAAGACAACCACACGGGGTCAGGTTCTTTAGGGCCCTACAGCTGTGGCTACAGGATTAGTTGAAATGCCTCTAGGCTGGCACATCTGGCCTCTGTCCATGTTCTCGGGGCATCAAATGAAGACGGTTTCCAGTCCTAGGAGCCCCAGTGCTATCGTGAGGGCAACAAAGCCTCACTAGCAAACAGCCAAGGTATCCCAGACGGGTGGGACTGATGTCCCGCCCTCACCCCAGGTTACCCCATATCTGCGATTCTTCCCACAAGGGGGCCCCCCCGTTCCTACCTCTACCTACAAGACCACCTAAAAGGCCAAATGTTAACAACTAGATTCAACAACAGTTTCCTCCCAGGCACATACGCCCCCCCACCCCCAACTGCCATCATGTATTAACCTTAGAAGTCAATCTATTCTTTTCAGTTATCAAGGAAACATTGGACAACTGTTTTACCTGATGGTTTTAAGTGGAACTTGAAGGGCGAGGTCTTACGCTGAAACACTGAAACTATATATAACACCATATAGCCGTGCGTGGCAAATCTTTTCTTTCATAGTTATCATCTCCTGTTGGGAATATTATCTTGTATAATAGCTATTGGAGGCTCCCCCGTGAAAAGTTCCAAAAGGACTTTGGTAGAAAGTTGGCTGTAATCTCACAAACTCAATGCCACCGTCGGGGGTTTTCCTTTTTGGCAATGTCAAGGGAGCCCCACAGGGTCCCTCAGCATGTGGCGATATTTATTTATTTATTTGGAAGATTTTGCTTATCATCCTGTATTTATAGATATTTATAAAAATGTAACCCCACCTTTTTACTTTCTTCTGTTTAAAAGAAAAATAAAATTTATCTCAGCTTCTGTTAGCGTCTCCTCTCTGCATCACTGCACAAAAGCACATTGGAATGTGGGAATGAAAGGGATTATGGGAGTGGAACACTGGGAAAATCCAGAGAAGATAAAATTGATAAAAGATGTCAGAATGTTAAACTATTCAAGGATTTCTGCCATTCATAAGCAGATTCAACAAACAACATTAATTAAACTGGACAAAATGATGAGAAACGAGGACATTTTTATCAATATTGGATTTCTGATCACTCTAGTTCTAAAGTATTTCCTTTAAGGAGAGATTCTATTTTATTTGAAAAGTACACACTGACACAACCGTATAAATATCTCAGTAAACCAGATGCTATGTACTTAACATATACAGTGTTACTGCCCTGTGAGATTCAGTAGCGGGGCCCTAAGATATTGAATCTACACGCCTTCTCTTTCTGAGGCTGTGCTCCCAGAATTCCTTCTGTAATCTCCATCAGGCTACCAAAACACAAGAATAAGCAAAGATGCTTCTTATGCATTTACATTTCTCTGGATTCGAATTCCCACTGGCTCATGCCTACAGCTTCTCCTTACCCAACTTTGATCATCAGCTTCTCCCTTTTACAATTAATGTCAAAGAACTTGGGAGAGAGCTCACTGTTTCGATTGTCTTCAAGTTACCTGCGGACAAAGCCTGCAAAGAGAATGTTCTTCTCATTGTCTATTCTTTTAAGAGGCTGAGTACCAAAGTCCTCCACACTATGGAGAAGGATCAGGGACCGTCACTGGGATACACACAGTCGCACAGGCCAAAATGTTTCATTTCTTTGATCATGCAAAACAGACTTATCAGAAACAGGTTAGCATTGTTTCAAAAGTTCCCATCAGTCTTTTTTGGAAAGGAATTGCCTGGCCTTTGCTTGTAAATGTCATCCCTTCATTGCATTTCAGGAAACAAGGCAGAAGGGGGCAAGGGACTCCTTGTTTCTCCCATCATAGGACCTGAAGACCCCTAGACATGGAACAGTACTAAAATAATCATTTGGGGACAAACAGGTCTTCATTCCCTGAATTAAATATTGAAGAAGAAAAACAAATCTTGCACTGTAGAGGTTTCCCTTCCACAGGCTGGAAGAGTTCCTTTCTTCTTCCACAAAAGTCCTCCTGGTTGTAAAGAGAGGAAAACTCAAACTTTTTAAGGCAAAACAATTGGTGGGGTGAGGATGGGAGAAAGCAAAGAAAAATGTAGACATATTGTGTGTTTGTGTGTGTGTCAATTATGTGGCACATTGTACACATTTGGCTGCTAGAAACTTCAGTGACCTAATCACAAGCAGAGTTTCCAGAGTGTAAAGCCCAACCTTTGTCTTATACGCAGAATTATAAGTCCTTGCTGAACAAAGATATTTGAAAGATAAATCACATACATATTTGTATAGCTACTTCCCACTTATACAGAACTTTTTTACATCTTCACTTATTTAACACTTAAAATCACATAGCCTCCACTTCCAGCCATGACAGAGTAACTGGTACTAGAGTTGCCTTCCTGCCAAAAATTACAAAACAGGACAAAACATACGAGGCAGTTGTTTTCAGGAATGGAGTAGTAGAGGACTACGGTCCTTGGGAGAGAGGAAACTCATGAGTTAAGTCCCACAATCATCTCAGTTTTCTGCCTTGGGAATATTTGACAGCCACAGAACAGGAAGAGGGAACCCAGACAGAACTGGCAATCTCACTGAGCTAAGAAAGCAGTTGGACTCAGTGGGGCAGGGTGGCTGAGAAGAGGGGACTATGAAAAGGGGAGATTTCAGACTCGTGCATGAGCATTCATCGCAGGTCTTTGGTCTTCAGCCAAGACTGGGTAGCACATGCACAGGGCAGGAGTCAGCAAGTCCTAACAAACATCACCTGCTGCGGCATGAGATGGACAGTGAGTGACACCAGAGGCCATACAATGTTGACAGATGCTAGAAACCCATCCATGCCAGGGTAAAGAGACCTTACTGGACGCATCAGCATTCAAAAGGCTGTGTCTTATAAGTGAGGACTAAGCAAGCCCCAAAGAAAGGAGGGTACACACTAAAACTAAATTCAAAAGGAAGATAAATTTGCTCTAACACAGAATGACACCAATCCTGACAAAACTACAAGGATCTGCCAATAATCTAACGGCCAGAACAAAACTCAACACCCTTTAAAGGATGATGACATGATCCAGACTCAATACTTGGTATCAGGTACAACCAGTAACAATAAAATAACTGTGCATGAAAAGAAATAGGAGAAAAAAAATCACCCAAAGTCACTAGAATGACAAATGACATGTTACATATAGGGGAACAACTATAAGAATAATGATAGATTTCTCATCATAGAAGCCAGAAGACAATGGAATGATACACTGGGTTGGGGAAAAAAAAAGGGGGAGGGTTGAAAAAAATAAACAGCTATTCACCCAGAATTGTATATACAGCAAAAATATCCTTTAAAATTAAGGTGGGGGGGGGGATGGGACTAATGGTAGTAAACATCTGTCTGGAGACAGGGAGACACCTATTATCAACAAGGGGGCCTGAATGAAGCGTATCTGTATACCTAACCCTTAACTGTACCCCACAATATCAAAATTAAAAATATTGATTATAAAAAAAAATTAAGGTGGAATAAAAACTAAGATAAATTGTTGCAAGACTGAAAAGAAATAATACCAGATGGACAATTAGAATTACAGGAGGAAAGAAAACCATCAGTAAATACGTAAAATAAATTTAAACAACTATATATTATATACCATCTTCCTCTGATTTCTTTAAAAGATTGCTTAAGGCAAAAATTTTAACACTGTGTTGTGGAGTTTATAACATATGTAGATGTATTATATATAGCAAAAAAGGGAAGGAATAAATGAAACAATATGGCTACAAAATTATAAAATTGCATGTAAAAGGCATACAACATTAACTCCAGACTGTGATAAGTTAAGGATGCATATTGAAATCCTTAAAGCAATCATTAAAATAAGCATCATCATCATCATAATTCAAAGACATATGAGTTAAAAAAAATCAATAGAGAT